CCCCCCCCCCCCCATCCTGTCACAGCAGACTCACCACTAATGACTCACTAATGGTTTCTAGTGGTAAGGTGGTCATGGTAACTGTGTGTTTTAGATCAAGCTGCTGGACGGTAAACGCTCCCAGGCCGTGGGCATCCTCATATCAAGCCTCCACCTGGAGATGAAAGACATACAGCAAGGTGAGTTATAGACTATTTCATTCAGCTGTACTGCAAGAAAACCACTTGGGTCAGAGTTTATTTCTTGTTAGCCACTGATATTAGGACTGAGTACAACAGAAAATATAAACTTTCATACATTTAAAGCACTAATGTCTTCAAACGTGTGTGTAAGTACAATATTACACCTACAGAACCTCAGATTTCATACAGTACACAGGATCACTGTGCTGCTGAGCAGCTTGTCATTGAAGTTCACAGTTAGCTAGGACGCCAATTATGATGTACATGTGATGTACACATATTTGTGGATTTTCTCAATGAAGATATGCTGATATTTTAGAATCTTAGTGCCCAGTTAAATGTTTTATCTCCAGTTAAAATTTGATATCTGTTCACATTCCCACCCTTAGCTGTACTGACAGTGGATCACTCCGTGGTGGACTTGGAGACCATTGAAGCACTGTATGAAAACGTGGGTACTCCAGAACACTTTACTGTGGTTTCAGTACAAGTGCAATTATATAGTTATGAACCTCCTATTTATATTTTATTGTCAACGTGTCAGAGAGCACAGCCAGAGGAGCTGCAGAGGATCAAGAAACATTACGAGACGTTAGCAGAAGACGAAGTTAAGCTGCTGGACAAACCTGAACAGTCAGTATCACAAATGAGACGGCACCAGAAATTGATTGTGTATATGTTTGTGTGTTTACTACCTACTGTGTTTAGACCTCATGTATGTGACTGTGCTCCAGGTTCCTGTTTGAGCTGTCTCAGATTCCAGACTTTACAGGAAGAGCTCACTGCATCATCTTCCAGTCAACGTTCACTGATGGGATTACCTCCATCCAACACAAGCTCAGGACACTCTCTTCTGTCTGTAAGGTAGGAAAAGCACCAGAAACCCAACTCAGTAATATCTTTAAATTAGGGTGATATCTATTAGCTATGAGACGTGGAATAGGAAGCATGTTAAGGTGAACACCAGCTGTCTTTACACAGCCTGAAAAAGGTGTTCACTTTGTGTGTGGTTTCTGTTTTGAGGGTCTGCTGGAGGGCGACGGCGTAAAGGCGGTGATGGGACTTGTGTTGGCTCTGGGGAACTACATGAACGGAGGCAGCAGGGCCAGAGGTCAGGCTGACGGCTTTGACCTGGAGATACTCCCTAAACTCAAGGATGTCAAGAGCAGAGTGAGTGCTCAGTCACAGTGGGATAATCATGGCTGCTCACTAAGAAGGCCTTTGTCTTTTCCTTGTTTTTCATCAGGTTTTGGTTTAGCAAATTGACTTTTTAGGGTTGGACCACCTTATTTATATGTGAATTCAGTGGGTTTTAAAAGGAGTAGTGATGGTTACTTCCTAACACTAAGAACCAGTTTGTTTTATGCTCAGAGACACACTCATACAGTAAATCCCAGTGACTGGATTTACACTGTGCTTGTAATCTGTATGCAGCAATAGCATTATCTGAATATGGAAAAACATGTTAGTGCTTGTTTTTTTAATGAAGGCATGGTTGGTCTGTATAGTTCAGTGGGGTTTTACTTCATATTGAGGCAATTTTGATGTTTCTTTTCAGGACAGTCATATCAGCCTGGTGGATTATGTGGTGTCGTACTACCTGCACAATGTGGACAAGGTACTGGGTGTGAAAGTTCATTCTGGACTTTGGAAATTATATATTAACAAAATAATTCAGAATCCACTTAGAAGCATTTTCGTTAGCGTTTAGCAGCATCTCGTGGTCTAAATCAGCACAATGAATGTACTCAGTTGTTCACCATTCACTGGTAAAGAGTGCGCGATGCTGTGGAAATGGCAGGAATACTTATCTTGAGGCCTGTACTGAAACAATAGTCAGGTACCCAGATGGATGCAGATGGAGCCAATCTCGGCTGACCCTGGGTGAGAGATGGGGTATGCCCTGGACAGGTCGCCAGTCTATCACAGGCAAAGTAAATTAAAACATTTCTCATTCCCTGATTTAACTGTAATGTTTTGTTGTTGTGTTGGGTTTTGAATCCACCAGAATGCTGGCACAGACCAGAGTACGTTCCCCCTTCCTGAACCTCCCGATGTCTTCCTGGCAGCACAGGTCAATTTTGATGACCTCAACACGGACCTGATACAGCTCGGGCAAGATCTGACAAGTATGTGATATAACTGCTGCAGCCTTTATTGAGTCCAGCTGCTTTTATTGGAAGACTTGCAAAAAAAAAACATCCTCCAGGGTAATGAATACCAATACTCTGAGGCTGCACTTGTTTCATAATAGCAGATTGTTGCATACATTCCTAAAAGCATTAGCTCCACTGTGACCAGATGGTGAGTGTTAACATCTGTGTGAAAAACCTCAGCCAGCCCATGTAACTCCATTGCTGTGATTTTGTGTCACACTGAAGACACAGACCAAACCTTGGCCCGGTCTGGTAACGTTCTCCCTACATATACATGTGTTTTTCCCTGCACTGTGCACTGTACGTGCATGTACTCAGAGACTAGCAGGAGTCTTGTTGCTGATACTGGCCTGGCGCCTTTCAGATCCAGCTTCTAATCCTCCTGCTCATCAGATCTCCCATCACTGTGCCTTTGTGACCCTGTCGCCAGCGCAGGGAGACCATAGCTTCCCACTTATGTAATCTCCAGACCTCCAGTATCTCTAGTATCTTTGCATGGGCTTCTGTAGAGATACATGAATCCCTAACCTGCTGGGCTGTATCACCTGGGCTCCAGTGTGGCCCCCAGATGTGTGTCACAGATAGTTTTCTTTACCTCTCAACACAGCTTTATTTTATCGACCTATCTAGCCAAACCACAGTGCAATCTGAATGGCCTGTTGCAGGTTCCTTTTGTCCTGCCTGTTTGAACCACCCTCATGTCTGGTTTGAAGATCTGATTCTGTCGTTCCTCACTCTCCCTGTGTTTTCTGTGTGGTTGGTACGACATGTTTCGCAACACAGTTAAAATGAAATTCATTTCTCTTAAGTCTTTCATGTTGACTGTTGAGGGAAGACTCATAAATAAATTACATTATAATGGGTAATGCACTATAAAAGGTTTAAAGGGTCAGCTCAGCTGCAAAGTGACATGAACTGCAATGACAGCGGAGAGACAACACAGGTAATTAGATTTAAATATGCTTGTCTAAGATGCTCTTAGGCTGATAGGCATTTCTGTGTGCCAAACACCATGAAGAAGACTTTTTGCTTACTCTAATGTACCGTGCTATTTGGTTTCCTTGATACATTTATGCTACCATATAATCTGACATGGGTGATGCTGTGATTTATGAAGTGACCAACCCAAACATATCATCAACAAAACCTTGAAATCTCTTTAAGAGGCACTATGAGACCAAATCACTGCTTCAATGCAGTTTGTGTAATTTAGTCTCACATCTGAAGGTACCACACTCCTCATCAGCTGGTTCTGTTTATGTGCAGGCCTATAACCCTCTTCAGGCTCAAATAAGCAAACTTTCATCTGGCAAAAGATAGACAGGCTCACAACACAATGCACAGAGACCTACTCGCCTCCACAGTTTACACAGTGAATGAAAACAGTATTCTTTTGCAATCTTATCTGGGGCATGTTGATCAAGTGTCCGGGTTGGGGGTGGGAAGGCAGTGGCTTGACCCCCTCCACAGCCTCTATTATGACTGGCTCTGCAGACTGGCTACTCTGATTCACATGGACACTTAGTAACATGGTCTGGCAGAGGTAGAGGGAGAGAGGGTGCAAAGTAGGCGCTCACCATCTCTGAGTGAATCTCCTCTAAAGAGGAGCTGTGCTGGTAGCCTCCTGCTCAAGCACAGGTGGAGCTAGTTCCGCCCAGAAGAGTCCCATTCCTTAATTCAAGAGTTTATAATGGTCAAAGATGGGAAAAATGGGAATAAATTCATGTCATTTTTGGACTGAAATCCAAATGTAAGGATGCATTTCTATCCCGGAACGCTGGACCCAAGATCTGTACTGTGGCTTAATCTCTTCTCCACACATTAAGAACAAGTCATTTAGGTTCAAGGACTTGCAGGATGCAATGTGACATGATTTCAGGGTATTTAGTCCCACAAGTATATGTCTTGCTTCTCTAAAAAGGTTTAAACTTGCCAGTCTAAAATGGTCTAGATCTATGAAAGGACAGAATTTGGTTGATTTCAGGTAACATTTATCTGCAACAAAAGATTCTGTCTCGTTCCTATTTGGAAGAAGAATGAGACAACAGCATGCAGGGTTTTTATAACCTTTAGTTGTCTTTAACATCATTTTTGTTGTGGTGCTTCTGCACTATACTTCCCAGGCACCCCTTCTCCTGTACTATAATAATATCTTCCTTCCTGGGATTTCTGTGGTTTAAAGTCTGAGTAGCTGTCTTTTCTGTGGTGGTTATCACTGCTCATGTTAACTGTGTAGCCATTCTTCTCATTATTGCAAGCAATCCATAAACTAATACATCATCTCCTGGCCAGAGATTGAGTCCCAACAGCAAATACAAAAAGCTTTCATGAGCTAGATTTGATCTTCTCTCAAGGTTAACTGCATTTCTCCCCCATTTTTCTGAATCCTTGTGCTGTTTCTTGCTTCCAGGATGTGAGAAAGACATACAGAAAGTTTGCTCTAACTCTCCTGAAGAACACTTGCAGCCGTTTAAAGACAAGATGGAGGCTTTTGTTCTCAGCGGTGAGTTTTAACAGTCATATGTTGTACAGCTGCAAACTTGTCACAGTCTCTTAGCAGCCACAAAAATATATTCTTAATCCCATTACTGGCCTGAAAATGTCCCTTTGTATTGTTCATGATGTGTCTTTGGTATCTGTGTGTGGGAGACAGGGTGGATTCAGAGTAAAGGCTAGACATTCAGATAGGGATCAGACAGATTTGGCAGTGGCTGAGACACACAAGCAACCGGGCCTTCAACTGAGGCATTTTATGTTGTAAGCCTAAAATACAAGACAACTAGAATTAGGTAGATCACTTAAGTGGTTTGTTGTTCTGGACATTTTTTCTAGGGACTAAAACAAAACTTTATAACAATACAGGAGACAAACAGGTGGTAGTGTACCTCATATTTTACCATAATGACTTTGAATTTTGAAAGTGGCAGCAGGAAAGACTCCCTTTTTTAATAAATAAAAAGTGACTGTGTAATTGCTGCTTTGAAAAGACCAAATTGTTGTCTGGCTCCATTTGCAAAGGTCATCATCATTACAATGTGCTCCTACAAGTATTTATACCAGCAGATTCTCCATAGAGATTATGACTCTTTTTGTAGGAGTCTAATTGCAACTAAACTATTTTCTTTTCTGTTTATTTGCAGCACAAAAAGAACAGGCTGAAGCTTCCTGTCAGTTGATGACTGCACAGAAAAGGTAGGAGAATTAAATGTATACTGCCCTTTGCCTGAAATTCAATGCGATCTCATTAAAATCTCCTCAGCAATCACTTGACAGATGAAAATTCTTTGGAAACTAATTGTAACACATTCTGACATCCTTACAGATGTAGCATACTCAGGAAGCAGCAGCCATGAATGTTGTGCGAAGATTTATTTGAGGCTGACAAGTTCATAGCCTTTTTCTGAAAACTGTTCAATCTGAGCTAAAGTAATTATTTGTGCTTTCAATCCTCTCGTTTTTTATACTTGCTGCTCAGTTTTAAGGACTTGGTTCTGTATTTTGGACTGAAGCCCAGGACCGGAGAGAAGGAGGTGACAGCTAGTCATTTCTTCCTGCTCTGGTTTGAGTTTTGTGCCGACTTCAAGGTCAGGTGGAAGAGGGAAAACAAGAACATCTCTAAAGAGAGGTATCTCTATCATCTTTGCATACAGTATGTCTACAGCCAACAGTTTCTGAAGTGTAATAATTGGTTCATGTCAAATTTAAATTATTCAGTTCAGAGAACTTGGTTATCTCAAAATTCCAATATAGGGCTGATAAACTCTGGGATAACTTAAGAAGATTGTCCTCAAATTATGGCATGTCTGGTTTGAAGTTTGGTCATAATAACTGGGATTAAATGTTACAGTTTGTCTTTATGATACGTATTGTTTTTATTTGATCAAACCTAATTTTTGTTGACATCTTGTGTTATTCATTTACTTTTGCTACCATTAATAAGAGACTCAAATTCATAATTTGACTCACTGGGAGATTGGTTCATCCTCTGAGGTACTGAAGTTTTTTAGGCATGGTTCAAATGGTCCAGGGTTAATAATCTGACACTTACACATTGTAGGCTAAAAGAAGCTAAGATGTCAGTGAAGAGGCTCACAGAAGATAAGAAGGTGGAAACAAGAAGGCTCAACCCCAATAGTCTGGTAAAATGGGATTCATAATATCACAGTTTGTCATGTGTCTTGTGGTAAATCGGCAGACAGTGCTAAACAATACCTTGAACAGGAAATCCAGCAATATCACGTTTTTGTTTCAGAGCATTGCTTTATACAGACCACATATGCCACCAAAGCATTTTCTACGGTGCTGGTGTTGGAAGAACTGATAAAATACTGCTCATATTTTGGTCCCAACAGAAAGAACGAATGCGCCAGAAAAGATCCAGCCTACCTGTAACTCAAGAGCTTTAAAAAAGGATGTGTACAGTGTGTTGCTTCGGGATGATTTCAGCCACACAACTACCTTTTCCTGTCTCTCACTTTGGATTAAACTGGATATGGAACATGGCACCAAATCAACGTTTCCTTGGGGAAGTTTATCCGTTATTCTTACACATCCATGAAATACTTCATCAACTGACACTTTATGTAGTATGATCTATTACTTACAAAATGTATTTAACTCTAAAAGATTTTCAGTTGCTCCAAGTGTCTATAGATTCTTATACATTTCACGATAATTCTGACAATGTTTTACAGTATCTTTCAACAAATAAAATCACTGATCAGAAAAACGGGATTTCAATGCTTGAGAACTTTATTTACACACATTTTTACTTTATATGATACACAAATTAGGCACAGTCATTAAATGAAGTGGCATCTAGCAGTGCAGCTAACCCTTCAGCTCCACATCCCACACAGTGGAAACAGTACAACCATCCAAGTCCTGTGGAGACACATTGTCGTGCACCTGGCACATCCATTAGCCTACATTTTGCAACAAATAAGACATTTTGTATTGTTACAAACTAGCCTTCGTCTACCTTAAGCCCGCTTTTACTGACACTTAAGGTCACCAGTTATTTGAATTAAACCAAGAACTTTGGCAAAGGCCAGTAAATCTTTAAAATCTGTTAATGCAAACTAAATTTATTTCTAAGTAACGGGTAGGTAACACGATTTTTAGTCAGAAATAAGTTTCAGGTCAAACTGTCACTCTAAAGGAACATCCACTGATGTGTCTTGAAACAAAATCTGTTTGTAAATTGCTGGATATCTTCATTTCTACTTCGCCCCTTCCTATTTCGATTATTACCGTGAGTCCTTTTAGCAAAATTGCACTTGTCCTCCAACATCATTACCGGCAAGTGCTGGTTTGCGTCTAATCCGCGTCTATTGCTGTGCATCGGCACTGCTTTATACGCTGGACGCGTTTCTTCCTGGTGCTGGGCGTCTGTCCCGGACAGAAGAGGGTGTACGTAATAGTGCTGAAAGTTTTGGGTTTGCAGGCAGAGCAGGACTGAAAGGCGTTTCCGTCCTGGTAAATGTGCCTTGGGATGTAGAAGGAGTTGCACTGTCCGTAGCAGAACCGGTTGATGATGGCGCGGCTCAGGCAGCCCTCCTGGTGGATAGTCTGCTTGAGAGGCTGCGTCTTGCACCAGTCCAGGCGCAGGTACCGGCGCTCCGTTACATGCAGCGCTTCCTGGCTGGACTCCAGCACCTCATCGGTTGTGGATGCAGGCCCCGGCCCGCGGGAAATTAGGCCACCGACTGGGGGCTGTAGGCACCTCTCCGAATCATTTGGGTTGTACTTGTTTAAATTTGGTGAAGCGCTTTGAAAGTTCACAGCATCTAAACTCAGTGGGCCGAGCAGCAGCACTAAGACAACTGCAGCGATCAATACTGGTAGTGTCTTCATTACTGAAGCTGAAATGAAAACAAACCTCATATTAGTCACTGACGGAGCATTTTACGCACAACTTTTACGCGCGCATTACGCATAAAATAAGCAGTGCGCATGCAGTTTTTTTCCAAACACATAACAACTTGTGAGTTTACTTTAGCAAGCAGAACCAGTAATGACAGTTTTAGTTACCTGTTTATTTAAGGTCCTCACAGAAAAACCTTGTCCCGTCAGACAGTTTTGTCCTCAGCTCTGTCCTCTGTAGTGGCTTTATGGCTGACACAATGAGAGGCTTTTCTAAACTGTCTTGAGATTCAGAGCTTCAGCAGAACACACCCCAAAACCCTAACCCTCTCTTTATCTCTCTGAAAGGGGAGAAAAAAATCCTCCTCCAAACTTTGCCAATGCAGATAAATCATTTATTTGAACAAAAACAGAACACAAACATTTTTGGCAGACAAATTTGCTGCTGCTTGTGGAGACTCGTGTTACTGCATATACCATGGTGATATGAACAGATGATAATCAAAAGAACTACAGTATTTACCATGATATAGTGAAGTAGATCACAATCATCCCTTACATGACAAAGCAATTATTATTTATTATTAGCTTCTCTATTGAATCTTTTCTTCAAGACGGAGGTGATTAGCTCTTCATATTAAGTTATACAAAAATTAAACATTGAGGGTGAATATAGATCTATGTGATGTCATGAATAAGTTTTATTCCTCCCAATCAATACCTCTTTATACAAGTTCATATTGTTGTAGATATACCGTACACTGCCAGTTAAATATTTAACCTCATATATCCTGGTTTTTGGGTTAAATCTCAAGCAATGTGACTACTGCATACTCCTTAAAACTAGAAAAAGTAAGGAGTTGGTGTAAAAGTGAACCAAGAATCACTTTCCCTCTATAAACATTCTAGACCTTGTCGATTCTAATCCAATACCCACTGGTTAACAGATATTTACAGATACTGTATGTCCCACATCAAAGTGTAAACCTTAGTGCTCAGATAGTTTGACATGTACTGGGGATGTATTTTCTCTTTAAGACAATCTTTCAAAGTGAAATGCAATGACAGCAGTTTGCTTTCTGATCTTTAAAGTTACTCATGACCTCATTATTTCCCCAGACACACAGAAACACTCCAGTACTTTAGAGCTGAAATGATCAGCCAATTAGATGATCTAGCGACAACAAACTGTAAACTGTAAATTCTGATCATAGATTGTCTTTTTTTTCATGGTATCAGCTTCTCAAATGTGACAATTTGCAGGCTTCTCATTTTTCTCCAATAGTAAACTCAACATTTTGCGGGTTTTAACTGTTGGTCAGAAAGCACATGCAATCCTAGTTGGTATTGTGCATGAGTGTGTAGATCCCAATGATAAGTAAACCTGGCGCTCTTGGCTCCTTGTTCATGATGACAGCTGAGTGCCATTGTTTCACCACAGTCCTAAAACTTTGTGCCCATGAACCAAGTTCCTGGATTGTAATGCCTATATGTTAAAATAAAAACATGGTAAACAAGATTACCAGTTTTAAGACAGACCTGGGCCAATTCATATGTTTGCAATACAATAATACACAATGGGGACAGTTTTTTCCTATTTACCATTTCCTATTTTATACTACTTGAACTGAAGTCAGTTTCATTGCTTGTTAAACCAAAATGCCCATATATGCAGTGTTAAAATCTTTAATCTGAGAGTATACTGTAGTATATTTCACTTGCAACCTACAGGTGCAAGAGTTTAGGTTGTGGTTTTGCTGGCAGCAGATCTAGTCAGTGCCTCCTCCTCCTTCTCATCCTCCTCTTCAGAGAAGTGAGGAACCGATTTCTTGGCAACCACATTGTCAAGCCTTTGGCCCATTAAATATGGGTTGACACTCTGCAAACAGGGAGACAATAATATGAGTATGCATACTGTAAATATGTGCACAACTTCTTAACATGACCAAATAAAATACAAAAATGCTGGAATACAAAGTTTTATCCGCCCCAAAAATCTAAGTGGGTTTGTTAGTTTGTTCAGAAAATATCACTTCACATCTAAATCAGTGGGTTTAAGAGTACAGCAGTCCCTTCAGGGGCAAAGCTCAGTGCTGCTGATGTGGTTTCTCAGATCAACACAGGAAAAAAGAAAAACAAGAAACACTCTACCCTTTTTCTTCTTTTTGGCCCTCCTTTCAGTTTTTGGTACAAAAGCTCCTTGCTCTGAGGGGAAATAAAGAAATTGCATATGCATTGTTTTACAGCCAGTCACAAACAATCAATCAGAAGGTTATCAGGAGATTAACTTGTTATGAAAATAATCAGTATTGGGCGTCCTGCTCTGTACTCACCCACTTGGCCAGGGCAGGGTAGTCATGCTCTGGGTCAAACAGGTGCTGGTGTTTCTGAAATTCTCTGCTGAACTCAGCTGTGTCCGGAGCATTTTCCAAACATCCGTCTGCCGCTTTAAAATTTGATATGACATAGGGTGAGGTTACTGATAATGCACCACTTTCATTAAGCATGCTGACAAATAAACAAGACCTCTTTAACCTCCTTTAAAATTAAGCCCATAGAATGAAGTCATGAAATAAACTGTCTTACAAACCTAAAGAGTTGGGACCATGATGCAGCAACAGCAGCAAAATTTGCACTGAAATTGCTGAATTTCAAAGTAGCCGTATATTGGGAGTCATTTGTTTTGTCCTGCTGCGTTTACATAATGTGTCCAGAATGAGAGTTTGTACCTGTCTTCCCCAGGGGACAGGGGTTTGGAGGGTCGGGGTAGCTGTGGTCATCACTAAAGTCTTTGGGAACATTGTCGCCCGTCAACTCAGCCACAATGTTGGGGATGTTCCCATAGGGGCCGAGGTGCTGCAGGCCTTCGTGAGCACCACCTTGTGGAATAAAACGAGCATTACAGTTACCACAAATACACCTGCAACATCACTACCAGCTACAGTAGAAAAGCTTAATATAGAACAATGTCAGCATCATCCAGGTATTCATTTTTACAATACAACGTTTCAAGTATAGGATCTAATTTGTTGTTTCGGAAAAGAACTGAACTGCAGTGGCCCTAAACAGAACAGCAGTATCATTATAATGCTTGGAAAGGGATTATATTTGAATGCATCTGGGGGGAATCTGAAACTAGCATCTAGCAATTTGGAAACTAAATAAAAAAAACAAATACTGAGCCGTCATTAGTGTATTATTTTATCAGAACGAGGGGGAAAACAAGAAACATTGGAGTGACGACTAGAATTTCGGTTACGTCGTCTTTATTCGTCTATTCTTAATGACCTCATATTACCCTGGATGCTCTGAGGCCCGACGATGTTGGTGGCCTGATGTGCGGGATATTCCACCCTGGGTCGTGCGATGCCCAGCTGCTCCATGACGCCGTGCAGCAGCCGCTGGATGTCGGCCTCGGACACCTGGTCCGCCGTGCGGGGACTGTGGGCCGGAGCCCTGCTGAGCTGGAGGGAGAGGAGGAGGCCGAGCAGCCACAACCGCACCGCGGAGCCCATTTCTGTCGTTTGCAGGGTGAAAAACACAAATCAGACCGTGCTGTAGCTACAAGACAGACAAGCGTGTCAGTATGTGCACACAACTCTAAAGTAGAATGGTTCATAGGTTTTAATGTTTTCTCTCGATATGGTCAATAGAAAACAAAAAAGGTGCTGCAAGTAAATGAAAGAAATCTTTGGCGCACCACGTACTAGTACGTAAACAGAGCCATTAAGTCTATAAATAGCCTATTAAACATAAAAACACACCTACTTTATAATAAAAGCTGTATTTAAATGCATTGATTTGATACAATTGATTTTATTTTTTACATAATGTCAAAAATGATCAAGAGTATGTGTATTTTTCTTACCGTGTCCGTGCTGTTGGAGGGACATACCTGCTGCGCGAGACCTCTTTCAAACTGACAAAGAAAACATACGTTTCCGGTTTCCAAAGTAAAATGTTGCTTCAGAAACACTACGACAAAAGGATTTAAAATAGATTTCAAGCCGATTTTCTCGCACACATAATCTCATTTGAGTTAGCTGATATACATGTTTTTATTTATTTATGTCTTCTCAGGTTTTGTCCTGTTTTAATAGCCATATTTTTCAGAGGAAACACTTGATTTCCGGTGGCATCAGAGCTTTTGATTAGCCTCGCAGGAGGATGCGATTGGCCTCGCTTGACGATTCAGATGCAGTTGCTAGGAGACTACAATCCCCAGTTCTCATTGGCTGTTACAGGGTGCACGGAACATTTTTTCTGTAGTCATAAGTAATTATCTTTATCAGGTGCTTTTTCAGCTTTTGGTTCCATGATGCTGATCCAAGGCTACCAAATAGCCAACCTGAGGCAAATCATAGAACGCAAATTAGACCTTCGCTACTTCGTATTTGGCTTTGGCTCAACTTTATCCTTTATTTTTACCTTTTATCCGGACCTTAATACTCAAGAGTCTTTAAAGCTGTAGACTGGGATACAGTTGTGACCACTCTGATGATGTGATCCACCAATTAGTTATATATAATTTCTCTCTTACTGGGATTTGTTTGTTGTTGCTTATTTAACCTCTTGTGGGTTGCCAACACAAAATTCTGCGGTGAAATTAATAATAATAAAAAAAAGCAAACAAAAGATTGCTTTTTTTCTTTAAAAAATTGCTTTTATATACACATTCTTGGCATTTTGAGTTTGAATCTTTGGTTTCCATTCAAGATAAACTGATGATAAACAAGTGAACTGCCTCACTTTACACTTGCACAGGTAAAAATACACTTCAGAAAAAACAATTTAAGCATCTGGATACCTAAGACTAATAGTCTTGTTGTGAAATAGAGTAAAAGATAAATTTATTAAAATAAACAATGCTAAAACATAACTTAAGTTACTTCCTATAAACACAGTATGTTACTTTAAGAATATAAACTGGTGAATCAGAGATCATGACCTAAAATGCTGTATTTGGGGCAATCAACATGTCTACTTTAAATACTATAGTGAAGCACGTCTTCTCCAAGGTGTGAACTTCAGTTTCCCCACAGCAGTGAGCACAGGAGAGTTGTCTGCATCAAGCCCTCTGCTACGTCTGGGGAAATGATATGAACGCAGATCTCTGCAAACAAAAAGGACAAACAGGTAAAACATCAGCTGGTGTGTATTAGATTTGGGATGCTGTCATTTTAAAACATGAAACCACTGATACATATGACAGCTCATACTGTAAACATTCCTGGGTTTTCAGTGCAGATCATCTTTGGCATCATAATATTAAATTCTATATTATTCCAAAATTAAGGAAAGTACAATCTACAGTCTTTCCAATTACTTCTCACAGGGAAAATATTTTTTGGAAATCTCACACAGTCTTCCACGTCAAACTTCCTCGCCACCTAATGACTTAACTACTTGTGTCATTCTGTTATTTACCTTTTTAATTTCTCTTGCGATGTCTTACAGGTCTCTTTGCCAATAGGACTGGAACCATCAAATAAATCTGGTGCAGGTCTGAAACCTTGATCTATAAACAACAACAACAACAATATCATCGCATTCTGTACAACAAAGAAGTTTCCCATGTGCTAGAGCATGTTTCCTTCTTCATATTATATTTACCTGCACAAGGCATGATGGCCCTAAACAGAAGGATATTGGGGAAGGTGTCCATACCAATGCTTCTCCTGAGGGTTGGTTTTCCTCCTGATGAGGAGCCTGGGCTCTGCTCAGCGACCGGAGGAGGTGGGACCTTTGACCTCCCCTGAATCCAGGGCACAGTCTTTACACTCTGTATTACTATATGCATTTGAGGAAATGAATTAAAAAGAGAACACAGGAGCTTGATACAGTTCAATTTTGTATCTTACACTGTTACTGCTTAAATGACATTCTACCTTTGCATTTACACTGATTTTTGAAGAAGTCAAACTAAAAATTACTTTTTGCTTTTCCTTTGAAACTGTGTTTTTCTCTGAAACTGTGTTTTTCTCTTTGGCCTTGTTTTGATTGTGCTCGTTTCAGAAACCGGAAGTTCATCAGGAATTCCATACTGTCCCTCACAGCCTTTGGAATAACACCTGTAAATATAATAAAGACCATAACATAGCAGACACATACAAACAAATGTAATTCAACTACAGAGCCCACACAGAAAAACTGGTTTATGACCAAATAAGCGAGGATTCTCAATGAAGGTGCGCAGGAGAAGAACCCTGAGTTCAAGTCGTCCTTCACTCATCTCTGACATGTTTGGAGGCGGTAAAAGACATGGGGCAAAGACAGTGGCGAGGTTGGAGCTGGTCATCAGATTTTCAGCGCATCTTTCAGCAGCAAAGAAGAGAAAGCCAATTAAATCATCGTTTGCTAACCCAGAAAGTACCACTCTGAAGAAAAATAGCCATTTGATAGCCTGTCAATGCTAAAATCTAAACACAAGGAGCTGTTTTAAATACAAACTGTACAAAAGGTACAATCCTTTGACTCTGCCTATTAAGGTTTAATCTCGCTATTGTCATACCTGTGGGAGACTTTGGAGAGAAAGTCAAACAGGTAATGCAGACAGGAGCAGTTTCTGGCAGGTAGCAGACAGGACAGCAGCTGGAGGGCTGACCGCCTGTCCTGCATGTTAGATAGTTCCTGGGCTTTGAGCAGAGCTGCATGGAGCTCAGAGGGAAACAATGGTTCTGGTAGTTCTCTACAAAACTGTTTGATCAGAGTGGCAACATCATAGGGGTGGGCTGTGGATAAACACTGCTCTCCCCTGTTCAGCTTGGCCTGAAACCAGAAACAGAAGTGCATCCTGATGAATATCTGGCCACAGTAACAAAGTTACTTTATGTAGCACCACAAAATTTATTTCTTCATCGATCCTGCTGAGAAACAGTTTGCTGATAAAACACTAAAGCACTGTTACTCCAGGGGAGTTTTAAAACCATACAGTGGAATTTATGAGCAAAGCAAAGATCAAAATCCTACCCTGAGGGTCTTAATGCGAGAAAGAGCACCTGGCTTTCTGAACAGGCCTACAGTCCCAGCACGCTCCAGAAGAAACACACAAGCATCCACCAAAAAGCTGAGACACAAAACATGTAAACAGCAATTTGTCGATAACATTTTGTCTCAATATGAAAAGTCTTCTGCTGTGTTCACTCACCAGGGTACGAGGCCAAACTCAGGTATGTATCGCCTGGGTACATTTTCTAGAGGAACACCAAAGATCTTTGCACCACTGAAGAACAGTCTCTCCCCTTGCTTCTCAAAGCTCTTCACAGTTATCCCATAAAGAACTTGTAGGTGAAACCGAATCATACTGCTATCTGTAACATTCATTACTTAACAGGTGTTGAAAACTATACAGTTCAGTCTCTGTTACTGGCTGGGTAAAATCACTAAAGAACAAAAAGGACAGGCTTTATTATGCTCATCCACATCAGCTGTGACACAGGAAGCAAGTAATGAAGGAATAGTGGTGCATTCAGGTGACATGAGAAAAATGGTAGATATGAGCTTTTGACATGAAAATAGGTGGCAATAGATAGAACTTCACAAAGTTGCTCTATATCAGAATAAGCAGCGTAGTGGTAATGGGTGGATGGATTTTATATCACTCCTGTTCCCTTGATTTGCTGCTGCTCATTGTCAGTCCTTTGGGATATTACTAAAGTTGATATTGAAGTTGAATAGAAAGAATAAATACTACTAGGTAAAATTATTTTAAACAGTTTAGCCATAGATGACTAATATATGTTGAGTCAACAGGCCTATGGACATTTTTTGCATGATCATGTTGAGTCAGACTCCAGATTACTGTTAAAAGCAACTATTTTTATTACAACATCACATGTATATACAACAAAAGGTACAGTAGAAACAGATATGGAAGGAAAGTTGGTGAGGGGGTCTTTGGTGTTGGTTTGATATTTAAAAGCACTTCCTGTGGACGATGGAGGGGCCAGCCTCATCGTATTCCTGCTTGCTGATCCACATCTGCTGGAAGGTGGACAGAGAGGCCAGGATGGAGCCGCCGATCCAGACTGAGTATTTCCTCTCAGGGGGAGCGATGATCTGCAGGAAAGCAGAGGAGGAGCAGAGGTACAGGTTGGTACAAGAACATTTTACAGTATACCTAAATAGCTTTAACCACTCAGTTCTGTTGTGTAAAGGTTCACCTTGATCTTCATGGTGCTGGGGGCCAGGGCAGTGATCTCCTTCTGCATTCGGTCAGCGATACCAGGGTACATGGTGGTACCACCGGACAGCACATTGTTAGCATACAGGTCCTTACGGATGTCAATGTCACACTTCATGATGCTATTGTAGGCAGTCTCATGGATACCAGCAGACTCCATACCTGAGAAGTGAAAGGAAGAAAAGTAAGCAAAAAAATTTGTTTCAAGAAGAGAATTTAGAAACTTAATCCCTTATAAATATGCCTTGCAGAATGAGTGGCGTTCCCAGAGAATAACCCTGACTGCTGAGTCTGACTCACCGATGAAGGAAGGCTGGAAGAGGGTCTCGGGGCAGCGGAAACGCTCATTACCGATGGTGATGACCTGACCGTCGGGCAGCTCGTAGCTCTTCTCCAGGGAAGAGGAGGAGGCGGCGGTGGCCATCTCATTCTCAAAGTCCAGAGCAACATAACACAGCTTCTCCTTAATGTCACGCACGATCTCACGCTCAGCTGCAGGGAGGAAATTTCACAAGTTTAGTTGAGTTTGATCTCACAAGTCAACACTGCACTGATGTATCATAGGGATTTAAATGAAGTTAGTGTACACAAACCTGCAGAAAACTATTAATCTTGTTTTACAAAAATCCCTGTTTTGTTTTCAGCTAACTGATGGAGACTGCTTGTACTTTACAGTAGGTCTGTCTTACCAGTGGTAACAAAGGAGTAGCCACGCTCAGTCAGGATCTTCATCAGGTAGTCAGTCAGGTCACGACCGGCCAGATCCAGGCGCATGATGGCGTGGGGCAGAGCGTAACCCTCATAGATAGGCACATTGTGGGTCACACCATCACCAGAGTCCAGCACAATGCCTGTCCAGAAAAAGAAGCCAAATGTCAGATGGTGACAGAAACAAAATAAGGTGAATGATTTTATTGCCAGTGAAGGAGGTGTAAGTACTTGTTGGTAGACTCACCAGTGGTACGACCAGAGGCATACAGGGACAACACAGCCTGAATGGCCACATACATGGCAGGGACGTTGAAGGTCTCAAACATGATCTGGGTCATCTTCTCTCTGTTGGCCTTGGGGTTCAGGGGGGCCTCAGTCAGCAGGGTAGGGTGCTCCTCTGGGGCCACACGGAGCTCGTTGTAGAAGGTGTGGTGCCAGATCTGGGTAGCAGGGATGGGGATGAGGAGTTTTACTGGTGTAACACTTCTCAACGCATAGTAAGTCTTTTTATTTGTTAATAAAAATTACCCAAAACCTAATTTGTTGAATATGCAGGAATAGCACTGTGGCTATCTGCTTCTCACCTTCTCCATGTCATCCCAGTTGGTGATGATGCCATGCTCAATGGGATACTTCAGAGTCAGGATACCTCTCTTGCTCTGGGCCTCATCTCCCACATAGCTGTCCTTCTGACCCATGCCCACCATCACACCCTGAGAACAAAGAAAACATCTCAGAAACTCAAGATAAAGACAGCCTCGGATTTAACTACAAAAATAAACGTTAGAAAGATTTTCATACCTGGTGACGGGGACGTCCGACAATAGATGGGAAGACAGCACGAGGAGCATCATCACCGGCAAACCCAGCCTTGACCAGGCCAGAGCCATTGTCACACACCAAGGCGGTGGTCTCTTCGTCGTCACACATGCTTGGACCTTTCTTGGCTGGCCTTCTGTACAAGAGAGGATGGAAAAACCGGCACAATCTTAGGCTGAGATATTCATAGGAAAGTTTTATTGTATCTGGGCGAGGAGCTTCTATTTGATAGTTTTTTACAGCCAAACACTGAACATTATGTGCTCTCTTCAAGGTTATGTAAGATGATCATTTGCATGTTCAAATGTGTAATATTTACATTTGAAGTCTGCATGAAGGATAATTTCATATGAAGAGACAAAACCTTGCAATACTTAGAAACAATGGACCCAATCTCCTCTCTGACAGCTGCCTGAGAAGCCAAAACGGGACATGAATCAACCCACACAAACACACTCACAGCCACGTCTATTTTCAGCCTGGGGACCCTTTCCACTCCCCCACCTCCCCAACAGCTTGTCTTCTGTATCTTGTCATTAAACTGGACCCATTTAACAGCTGAGGCAGTGTGTCATTTGACAAGTGGCAGTGGAAGCCTGGGCCTCTCCTCAGCTGTTGCCACTCTAGAGCCAGACCATGTGCTCTGAGCCTTCCAGGATCTCAAGAGCCACTACAGACACCCCCCATTTTATCAAGGCTTCCCCATTCAAATTAACATCGAAGTACAATTTAAATGCCTGCTGTAGAATTTGGCTTGCTGTTTTCATGGAGATCACCCTCGATATTGCAGATGAGACTTATGAAGCTGTAAAATGTACTGGCATCATTGCAATGACAACTTTTCCTGACAAACTGTGAGCCAACTGTGATGTTACTGCTTAAATACTAGGAAGATCAAACATACACTTTTTAAATTTGTATTTAGCCTCTTGTAACCATGAAATTTAGGCTGAGATTAAAAGGCTTTTCTCCATAGTGTTTTGGCTAACTACATTTCCTTTATGGTGGGTTTCAGTGAAAAGTTCTCAGCTTCCCAAAATGGTACAAATACTACTTCAATCATTTTTGTCCCTGCTAAGAAGAATATCCTGTATGACACATTAAATAAGGTTTAATTTAATTTAATATTAACAACTTTAAAACTCTATCTGTATTGGCTTCTAGGTTTTACATAGTTCCTGGTTAGATCTGCATGCCTGCCACTCCACAGAAAGCATCTAAACATCAGTCTTTCCTTATCTGCAGAGTGAAGGTCACAATTAATGAGCCTTGATGGCCTGTCCATATTTCATGACAGTCTCTACCTGTCCAGCACCACCAGTTTTCCTTTTGTTCTCTTTCTTTTGCTTTCTTTTCCCTCTCCCAACAGCAAGTCCTCACACAAATAGAAAATATAAGAACTTTAAACTGTGAATAATTATAGCCATGTAATATGTACAATAGTAACATTTTAAAGCAGCAGTGTCTATTCATCCTCCCTGTGTCCTACACTCCACATGCCAACAGCTGAAACAAGACAGCAGAAGGACTCACCAAGTTGTAACCACAAGACTGGAGTTTCCACTGGGACAAGGTAAGAGGGTGGAAGGGGTCCTTAAATATGTCCCAGCATCCTGAGGCTGGGGGCCAGTGGGTGGGCTCAGGAGTTCACACAAGCCCAAATTAAGTGTTGCTTAGCAAAACAGTTGTAAAGTGGATCCTGTGTAGGACGTCACCAAACTGGAGAAAAGATGCCATAGAGATGAAAAGCAATGGACATATATAGAGGGATGTTTCATGAAGACTTTTGACTGGATGGATGGAAACATGATAAAGGACTGAAAAGTTGGATTATCTGTGACAAATAAACACTTAAACAGTTAAATTTCGGTGTGACTAAGGACCTACTGTTCTTACAGCTACTATAACTGCAGCAAGTTAATAGTATATTAGCTTGTGTGCATACTTCAACAGTCAAATTATGACATTTAAATCAGCTACAAAGAGTCTAAGGTATTTAAGAAACCTCTCAACAGAAATATCACCAACTATAAGTTGCAGCATCTTTCTTCAACTCATAGGCCGTGGAGCTGCTCTTCAGGTCCCAAAGGATCTGTTAATATGGCTAAGCTCAAACAGGGCACTGGGGATGTGGGTGATAGGAGGCTGTGATGGTAATTTGAGATCTTCTCTAAGTAATCTGACCAAGAAGCTGTCTAAGGGGAACTGCCTGTGACAGTTTACCAGTGTATGGCATATGTGAAGAGCAAGGGGGGGCAGAAACATGCCAGGCAGCTGAGAGGCAATATTGTAAGAGGGGGTGGGAGGTAGCTAAGGCCAGGCCCCAGACTGACAAGTGATGGTTCTCAACTCTGGTTGGCTCCAGTGTCTCCTTTTAGGGAAATGGAGTTTAACCAGTGCCAATGGCTGCATGTCGACACAGACCGAGGGAAGAACAACGAGAGCTCAGGCTCCTTATTCGTCACCTCGTACTGCCCCTTGTCCGGACCTTATCAGGCTACTGTGAGTGCAATAAAAGTGTAAATACCCCCACACCATCAACACCGACAGATTCCATTTGTAGCCATGTGCTGTAATGTCCCTGGGAGAGAGATGCTATTAGCCTATTTCTATTACAGGCTTTTACATAACAGATATCCACATCCTGCATTTTGGCCATTTAACAACTCATCATAAAATTATGGGTATATTTGCTGGTGAGCCAACGACAGCATCTTAAAGGATATGTTCCTATTTTTTCAAGATTTTCTTTAAACAGCACTCACATATAAGTTATAGTTTTTGTTTTGCTGAGCTGTTGTGGAAGAATAGTGGCCTAATGCACATGAAATACCCATTTGATTGATCAGTTTTAAACAATAAAACCAAAAACACAGAACAAGGGCTATGGATGTCAACCCCCATCTCATCACAACAAGGGTTCCTATATTCAGGTGGAATACCAATCAACCAAATATCATTGTCAAGAGGACTTGAAAGATTTGAAAAACTTTAGGGAGTGTACTAACCCAGTGATCTCACCTGTATGGTCCAACAAAAGAAAAAGATTATGAAGATATATATGACTGGAGTTTACAAATCAAATCAAGGCAAAACAGGAACACAATTCTCTTTCTTTTACCACAGTGGTGGTAGCAATAGTGATTTGGTAAGGTTTTCTTTACCCCTGCAAAAGCAGTTAGTCATTATTACTGTTATTACTGAATTGCTGTTTTTTGCCATACTTGGTGGTGCTTTGAAACCCTAAGATGTTTTAAATCATTCACACTGAAAGTATGGTAGCATTTATACCAAACCAATCAAATATAAGTGTGGAAATTGTTGCCACAGCCTCACTCCTTTAAAAACAACTTCCATGAGTTGTTCAGAAAGAAGTAGAAGGGAGAGACATCACATTAGTTTTTGGATGAAACTGTTGCTGTGTTTTGTCAGCAGCTCTCTTCAAGTCAAAGAAGCACATCCCATCTTCATCACCAGGTCTTTATCAGGATAAAGCAGATTGGTCTGATAGGGGTCATGGTTTCGTGGAACATTACCCCCCACCCCCCCACCCCGCCCCCCAACACACACTTCAACAGCTGTTAGCAACAATTGCTTCTTAACAGTCAGTCCCACTTGGAGTCTGTTTACCACTAACAATACATACACAGCATTTGCAGAAATGGTGAAAGAAAGAGCACAAGTAAATGAAGATGGTACATTTTCTGCAAAGTTGGTACATATACATACAAAGTAATATATGTTATTTAAAGACCTTTATACAAAGCATTGTACAGAGGTCACAAATTATAGGATTTTTGTATTAAACAAAAAGAAATCATACAAGAAAAGGTAATGGCACTTTTGCAATTTCCTGGTTTTCTGCATAATTTGGTCATGAAATGAAATCTTCACCAAAGTCACCAATATCAACAAACACAATATTTCTAAACACAAACAGTCCTGATCTTTCATGTCTTTATTGAACACACCCATTAAAGACACAAAGTCATGGTGGAAAAAGTAATGGCAACACTGCTTTAATAACTGGCTGAACCACCTTTGGCAACAATAACCTCAAGCAAGTGCTTCCTATAGCTGTGGATTAGACCTGCACAACGTTCAGGAGGAATTTTGAATCATTCTTCCTGACATAACTGCTTCAGCTCAGCCATATTTTTAGGATGTCTGGTGTGAACAGCTCTCTTGAGGTCATTCCACAGCATCTCTGTTGGGCGGAGGTCCGGCCTCTGACTGGACCACTCCAAAAGGTGGATTTTGTCTCTCCAAATCAATTCTGTAGTAGATTTATTTCAGTCTTTAGGGCCATTGTCCTGTTGCATCAACCAGCTTGTTCTGAGCTTCAGTTAGCGGACAGCCACCCTGACATTATCCTGTAGGATACCTTGATAAACTTGGGAATTATTTTTTCCCTCCACAATGGCAAGCAGTTTAGGTCCAGAGGCAGCAAAGCAGCCCCATATCATGATGCTCCCTCCCTTCACTGTTGGGATGATGTCTTCATGTTGGTATGTCGTTCTCCTTTTACGCCATACATAGTGCTGTGTGTTCTTCCCAAATGATTCTACCTTCTTTTTATCTGTCCACAGGACATTTTCCCAGTAGTCTTGTGGAGTGTTAAGGTGGTCTTTGGCAAACTTCAGGCGTGCTGCAGTGTTGTTATTGGAGAGCAATGCTTACTCCATGGTGTCCTGCCATGAATACCATGCCGGTTCAATATTTTGCATGTGGTGGACTCCTGAACAGAGATGATGACCAACTCCAATCACTCCAAGTTTTTAACTGTTCCTCTAGTGTTCTTTTTTTTACTTCATTGAACATTTTGTATTGTGCCTTTGGAGTGATCCCTTGTTTGCTAGACTTGTTGGCTAAGTCATTCTCTGAGTATCACTGTGCTTTGAATATAGCCCACTGGATGTGTTTTATTGAGTACTAAGAGCTGTGTTGAGCAGACACCATCAAGCACTGCCAGCAGTTTCTCAGATAATGTCAGGTCTATAAATATAGGGTGTTTTGAAAGTTTCCATGTCAGCCATTGTTGTGCACCATGAAGGGAGCTACAGGCCTACAGTGTGCGGTTTGCGTGATATGTATCTATGTGCTTCTGTGTAAAGGAGTGAGATGTTGAGCTGCATAGAGTTGTTAATTCAGCAGTCCCTGCAGGAGAACTGTAGTAGCATTGCAGAAATGTTACTGTGACACCATATACAGCAGAATAATATATTGAAGCAAGACTACAAGTATACCATAAGGCCCTACATGACTGGATTTTTTTCCAAGGTTAAATTTATACTTTAAATCTGCAGTATAATTCTGGGTATTTAAGTTAGCTTTTTCCCCCCAACACTAATTAAAGACTGTAAAGTTTGTGACATTCTTGGGATTGACATCAAAGTCACTCACCCTAATATACAACAACAGCATAAAGGCTTTTTAAATAATTAGATTAAGTAAATTATTGTCTTGGTTGACACGCCTCTGCAACGTCGCATGGCGGTCGGGGGCAGTGCCTCTGGACTGGCAGACCGGGGTGGTGGTCCCTCTTTTTAAGAAGGGGGACTGGAGGGTGTGTTCCAACTATAGGGGGATCACACTCCTAAGCCTCCCCGGGAAAGTCTATGCCAGGGTACTGGAGAGGAGAATTTGACCGATAGTCGAACCTCGGATTCAGGAGGAACAATGCGGTTTTCGTCCTGGCCGTGGAACACTGGACCAGCTCTATACCCTCTTCAGGGTGGCAGAGGGTTCATGGGAGTTTGCCCAAC